TTTAGGAAAGGGCAGACTAGCAGAGATTCTTTAGGAAAGGGCAGGCTAGCAGATATTCTTTAGGAAAGGGCAGGCTAGCAGAGATATGCTGGCCTTTCACTAGTTCCTAAATAATCTCTGCTGGTCTAGAATTTACAATTTGACTGAACTTATTGAACACTGCGGGGCCGAATTTCTCAAGTTTTACTCGTTATTCAAGCCGTACCCCAGAATGCCGCCTCTAACAAGCAGCTGAAATCCGGGCGACCGTATGCACCGTGTTCACTCTCACTTCCCGACAAAACAGCAGCAGATTTTTGGCGAATTTTTGAGAGGTTCGGCCGACTTGAAGCCACCTGGGCTGCCATAAAATTTTCCGATTCATTTCTTCATACGGAGCCCTGTTTTTGCGTCTTTAACGAGGTTTTGAAGCTTGAAATCCGAAGGAATCTCTGCTAGCCCACCCTTTCCTAAAGAATCTCTGCTAGCTTTTTTCTTTTTTTTTCGTTTTCTCACTTTCTTTTTTACCGATCACTCTCGCTCTTTTAGCCCTCCAAAATTATTCAAATGCTGAGCTGACCCCAGTAGTACGGTACGCTACGCTACGCCACGCTACGCCATGAACGGCATCCCAATTTTCTCGGTCACCGAGGAGGACACGGTCGCATCGACGTCGACGGTAGGGAAGAGGGCTAAGCCCAAGCCTAAGCTAAGCAAAGCTTAAACAAAGCCTAACTCGAAACCTAAGCCTAAGCTAAGCCTAACCAAAGTAGCCTAAGCCTATGCCGAAGACTGCCTTGCCAGTCCCTTCAACGTCATTTTCCCGGTTACACCCATGCACGCATTTAAACGGTGGTATCTGGATGCCGATCGGCACGTACCCACCGACGCCACCACCTGCCTACGTGCCGTGATGCAAATTTTGGCCGCCGAGAAGTCGATTCAAATCGATGATCGGGTAGTTATTAGGTGGATGACTTGTACGGGCAGGCGTAGAAGGGCGGATAATCCCCTAAAAGGCAGGTGTTTCGCCCGGGGGACTGGGGGGGGGGCAATATTGCCCCGTCCCCCGGGCCACCTAGGTGGGTTACGGTAGGTTGAGAGAGACCGGATGAGAAGGAATATATAGGTGCTTTAGGAATTCAATGAAGGTAGCAGCGATTCTTTAGGTAGGGACAGGCTAGCAGAGAATCGTTAGGAAAGGGCAGGCTAGCAGAGATTCGTTAGGAAAGGGCAGGCTAGCAGAGATTCTTTAGGAAAGGGCAGGCTAGCAGAGATTCGTTAGGAAAGGGCAGGCTAGCAGAGATTCGTTAGGAAAGGGCAGGCTAGCAGAGATTCTTTATGAAGGGGCAGGCTAGCAGAGATTCTTTATGAAGGGGCAGGCTAGCAGCGATTCTTTAGGAAAGGGCAGGCTAGCAGAGATTCTTTGGGAAAGGGCAGGCCAAAATTGTTGCGCTATGTTAAGCAGCTCTCTACTAAATTTTAAAGGCGCTGACAACCCTCAGAAAATCGATTACCACATTAAAATCTTGACTAACCCCAGGCATGTTTTTGCAGCAACTTCAGCAACCATGCGAAAAACAAATTATCCAGTTTTCTGGCCCCTAACCTGCTGACCCCCCGGATTTGCAGGCGCGCTACCACGTGCCACCGTAGCAGCTGGGCTCTGACATTTTTTTGCCCAATTAGGATGAATTAAATATCGGACTTTCCGGGTGATTTTTCAGAATTTTCGAATGGAAAGCAGCCGGTGCAGGCGCGTGGTATTTTTTTCGATTGAGTCATAGCATTAGGAGAAGATGCAGATGTTAACAAGGAACTGCTAAGAATTGAGAACCAAGCTTATGCTACGCCTGAACCTAAGGCTAAGCCTAGTTTGAAGTCTAGATATAATCAAAGCCGAAGCTTAAGCCGAAGCCTAAGCCCAGACTAAACCTAAGCCTAAAACCAAGCCCAAGCCAGGCCTGAGCGCGACTTACGTCTAGGCTAAGCGTAAGTCTAAGCCTCGGCCTAAGCTAAGCGTAAGCCTAAGCTTGAGCCTAACCTAGCCTAAGCCGAAACTAACCCCAAGCTGACCGTAAACCTAAGCAAAGCCAAAGTTTAAGCCTAGGCCTAAGCCCAAACCCGAGCCTACGCCTAAGCCCAGGTCAAAGACAAATGGAGCCTGTCCTAAAGCTACAGTATCCCGCTAGAAGAGTAAGGCAGTCCCAAAGGAGGTGCCCAATATCCGGCCGCGAGGCCACGACACTCCAATTTACACCCCGAATTTCCACAAATTTCCGGTGCTCGACTCGGGCGATTTGGCGTCTGATTCCGTGGGAGAGTTTACAAAAAATGATCTGTGCTAGCCCGCCCCTCCTAAAGAATCTCTGATAGCTTGCCCGTTCCTGAAGAATCTCTGCTAGCCTGCCCTTTCCTAAAGAATCTCTGCTAGCTCCCTTTCCTAAAGAATCTCTGCTAGCCCCGTCTTCCAAAATTCTCCGCACAACCCCTAGTTTTCGAGGTTTCCCTTCAGATTCCCCGGGGGCTACGGCGGCTTCGTTTCGGCGCAATTCGGGGGGCATGCACCTGGAATTTTTGCAGCTGCTTTTCAATCGGAGCGGCTGGCCCGGCTTGCCCGGCCAGCCATTCCGTCCATTCCGGCATACCGTACTCAATTTTCGGCAAAAGGACGACGGATGCTAATTAGAAACCCGGCTGCCGTCACTTGCGAGCGCCGACGAACTTTCTGACATCACTTTTTGCGTCTTTTGTCTATTTCCATCCAAATTTGTGGCGGTGTTTCCGGGCAACCGGCTAAATAAACCGATACTGTAGTCGTTTGTCGCTATTTACGGTATTTGGTTGTTTCTATGGAAATGGGGAAGGTATTTAAGGGGCTTGCAAGGGGGTTAAGTTCGAGACCAGGCTAAGCCTAAGTTTAAGCCTGAGCTTAAGCATAAGCCCAAGCCTAAGCTGAGACAAAGCCTGCTTCTAAGCCTAATCCTAAGCCTTTCCCTAAGTCTAAGTCTAATTCTAAGCCTCGCTCTCTCTCTCTCTCTCTCCCTCTCTATTTCTCTCTCTCACCCGCTCTCTCTTGCTCTTTCTCTCTCTATTTTTCTCTTTCGCTTCATCTCTCTCTCTCTCTCTCTCTCTCTCTCTCTTCCTCTCTCCTTTCAAAAATCTTTTAAAGGCAGATCAGAACCGAGAGATTCGATTATGACATGAAATTTGTGAGCTTTACGACTTCCAGAGTAAGTGTTGCAACAAATGACGCTCCAAAAATTTCTAGGGATTCTTATTACCGGAGTGTTGCGTAGTTTTTTGCAAATTTTTGTGCTAATCTCCCCAAAAATTCACCAATCAAGGGGCAAAAATTTGCAAACTTCGGACATAAAACACCTCATTTTCCGCTTCATCCTAATCCCCGTTTGACGTCGCGAAAATCACACGATTAATTATCCAATAAAAATGAATAAAAAAGCGGCGCGCAAATCCGCAAACACGGAAATCGTGATAATCCGCCCAATTTTCCCGCAAAAATTTTTTTGCCGATCGTTTGGAGGTGGTTTTCAATTAGTGTAGGCGAGGGGGATTATCCGCCTCTTCTTTTCCACCGTACTCTCCAGGCTTTTTTGCTTTTTTATTTTTTCTTTGTTGGGCGCTGTCAACAAAATGCGTAATTGATGCGAGGGGATTAGGGGGTAATCTGTTGATTCTGCTTTTTCGTTACATTTATCGCCCAATTTTCCGATTGTTTCCTGGTGACAGTGTCTGTCTGTCTCTCTCTCCCTCTCTCTCTCTCTTTCTCTCTCGTTTTTTGAGGGGATTCAAGGAATGATGACCGCCGGGTGGTGGGATTAGCAAAGAAAAGTGTAGGCGCTGGCGGGGTCCAGATTTTTGCTTTTGAGGGATCCTTGCCAAAACGGCCTAGACTTGGGCTTAGCGTCGGCCGGCTTCAGCTGAGCTTACAAACTTTCCTTATGAGCTTACTGTACTCAAGCCCCGGCCTAAGCTAAGCCTAAGCCAGGCTAAGCCTAAATTAAGCCTAAGCGAAGCCTAAGTCTAAGCGTCAGTCTAAGCCTAACCTATGCTTAAGCCTTAGCTCAAGCCAAGTCTGAGCCTAAGCCCAAGCCTAAGCCTAAGCGTAAGCTAAGCCTAAGCTAGTCTAACGCGTATTCTCGATACCCCTGTAAACCTCCCATTAATACGCCATTTTCAGACAGAACATTCCCGAGCCGCATCCACCTCAATGCTACACGACAAGTGGCTACAGTACCGCCACGAGCGGACCTCGTCCTCGTCGTCCGATTCTGGGATCGGGCTGCAGAGCCCACCGGGCGCCGCTTTTTTGCGTGAGTGAGGGAGAGAGATAGAGGGAAAGAGAGGGAGAGAGAGAGCGAGAGAGAAGCGGGAGAGAAAGCGAGAGAGAGTGAGAGATAGAGAGAGAGCAAGAAAACCTTTTTCAGAACACGTAGCCAACGGCTTGTCGCCTTCACTCGCCATCTCACCACCAGGATTGTCACCACTCCAACTCTATGATTCGTCCGCATTCTCAACCCCGACCCCTGGCCATGCAACGCGGTGCACAAGATTCACGTTTGATCATCTACTCAAGAAACCGCGTGAGTGGACTTCAGTGTTCCTTTAAAAGCAAAGCCGGGCAGGCTGGCAGAGATTCTTTAGGAAAGGGCAGGCTAGCAGAGATTCTTTAGCAAAGGGCAGGCTAGCAGAGATTCTTTGGGGAAAGGCAAGTTAGCAGAAACCATTTGGGAATTTTACAACACTTCTTGGCGAGCAGCCATTTTTTGCAGCGTTTCTCCCCGAAAATCCGCCTGTTATGTTTGTTGTTGAAAACCGCGGCCCCACCCCGATCTCCGTCTATACGGCTCAGAAAATCAGACAAATGTCCAGAATCCGGGGATTTCGGCTGGGGATTCGGCGGCGACGTAGGCGGCCGAAAAGCGGCTTTAGCAGCCCGGGACCAACTGATCCGCCCAGCTGGGGGGATCTCTGAAATTGCAAAAAATCGGTGGTACAAAATGGCACTTGGCCGCTTCGAGGACGACCTTCAGTTTCTGAAGGTTCGACTCGATTCCAGAACTCTGCTTTAAGAATGTCTCTTTTTGCCAAAGACTGAGCCGAGCCCTTAGCCTAATCCCGAAAATCGCTCGTTTACAGTACTCGAGCGGAAGTCGGCCCCAACCGCCGAATTCTCGACGACGTCCGCCTTCGAGCTGCCCGGCAATTGTCGCAAGGACCCGACGAGGCTCTCTGAGGTTTGTGAGCGTCTTAAGAAACTTGAAAAGCTTACGCCTAAGCTAAGCTTAATCCTAAGCCTAAGCCAAAGTTAAGCCTAAACCGGAGCCAACGCTAAGCCTAAGCTAAACCTAAGCTAGCCTAAGCCTAAGCCTGAGTCCAAGTCCAAGCCTAAGCCTATGCCAGGCCCAAGCCAAGCCTAAACCAAGCCTAAGCCAAGCCTAAGCCAAGCCTAAGCCAAGCCACTTTAGGTGCTGAGCAAAGTCCGGGGGGAAACTTCGGTCCCGCCCTCGCCACTGGCCCTCTCCCCAAATGCCATCTCTGCCCACTCGGCCTCTACCGTACCCGCCATCCCCACGGTGGTCACGACAGGTGCGTTTTAGAGGGTTTTTCTTGTCGCTGTCCCTTTAAAGGGGCTGGTTACTGTAAATATGAGCGTATTTTAGCCGGAACTCACCCTCGGCTTGAGCGGAAGACATCGGTAATTCAGACGGCTAGTCAATTGAGTCCACATGTGAGTTTTTAGCTTTTCTACCGGGCCCACTCTCTCTCTCTCTCTCTCTCTCTCTCTCTCTCGCTAATTTCCTGATTTTAGCTAATAGCTGCTCGCAGTGAGTCCCTTCCCGGCGTCTCCCTTGCCGAGAACCTTGTAGCAGTAGCAGCTCAGCAACACCAACAAGTCCAGCAGCCACCCCCGGGCCCTCAATCTATCGAAGCTCTCTTAGCCGCACAAAAAGCTGCACAAGTTCAGGCTCAGGCTCAAGCTACGGTAAGTCGCTCTCTCACTCGCTCTCTCTCTCTCTCTCTCTCTCGCTATTTCTCTCTCTCTCTCTGATCCATGCTCTTTTCAGCAGCTATGGACCTCACTGTACGCGGCAGTACCAAGGCATCCCCTGCTCTCGCCCTCACTTTCTAGCCCCGCCACAACTACAGCAAATCCAGTATTTTTACGTAAGTTTTGACCTTCCTCAGTGATCTCTGCTAGCCTGCTGCAGCCTGCTCGAGCGGTCGAATTACTTCTGATTTCAGAAATCTCGCCCCCAGCCCCGTCTGCCCCTTCTGAGGTCTCGAAATCGCCGCTGTCGTTGGTTAGCGAGCAGAAATCACCTTCGCTGTCGAGTCTGACAGGTAGGAGCGAGAACGAGAGAGAGAGAGAGAGAGAGAGAGAGAGAGAGAAGATAGAGAGACGGCAGAGAGACAGCGAGAGCGAGAGAACGACAGAGCTACGGAATTCATGCTAAGTTTTAGGAGCTGACGATGAGGACCCCAACAAGCAGTACTGGTGTAATTTTTGCAAAAAGGACTTTCGGAGGCCAGATATTTTATCTCGGTAGGTGTTTTTAGTTTTTTAGGTTTTAAATGGCGTAACTGGTTTGTGATAGAGAGAGAGAGCGAGAGAGAGAGAGAGAGAGAGAGAGAGAGAGAGAGAGAGAGAGAGAGAGAGAGAGGAGAGCAAGGGCAGGCTAGCAGAGATTCTTTGGGAAAGGGCAGGCTAGCAGAGATCTTTTGCGACAGAGAGTCTTGCCATTTTTGGCCCCCTTCCAATTCACATGCCCTCTAGACCCTTAACCCCCATTATCTCGCCTTTTTCGACACCCGAGTCACGGGTCTTGGGGGTAGCGCTTTTCCGCGTTTTTCCGTGAAACGCCGGTCTAGCGCTGCTTCTTATCAGCGCGGGAATTCCGGGGGCGGCGTGGGATTGGAAGATGAGCGCGGCGAAATACGTGGAATTCTGCATTGAATTCTGCACGCGAGGAAGGGGCAGACTAGAAATTAAGAGGGATAAGTCAAAGCTCAAGGTTGAGGTTAGCTAGCATTTTTGTAGACTAATATTCGCCTTACAGAACTCGAAAATCACGCGTTTTTAGCCATCTCCGACGGCACACCGGCGAGAAGCCGTTCAACTGCGACAGCTGCGGCCGATGGTTTTCGAGGTACGTCTTAAACCGAGGCCTAAGCCTTAGCGAAGCCTAGGCTAAGCCCAAGCTAAGCCTAAGCCAAGCCTAAACTTTGCCAAAGCCTAATCCTAAGCCTAGGCCTAAGCTCAGTCTAAGTCGTTCCCTAGCAACCAATCGGCTTCTTCTAGACCTAATTACTACGCTCCGCCCCAAACTACCGTACCCCGGCCTCCCTAGCTAATTTCTCGTTCCAGATCCGACCACCTGCGCACCCATCGGCGGACGCACACCGACGAGAAGCCGTATCAGTGCACCATATGTCCGTATGCGGCGGTGGGTGTTCCTCAAAAATCTCTGCTAGCCCGCCCTTTCCTAAAAAATCTCTGCTAGCTGCCTGTTCCTAAGGAATATCTGCTAGCCCGTATGCTAATTTCGATCATTTCAGCGTCGTCGAGACGTCCTGACGCGTCACATGTCGACTAGACACCAAGCCAAAGCCGGCAAGAGCATCTTCCAGAAGGCGAGGGACGCGAGGAGGTAAGATTCAAAACGATTGAGTGATACGCGATACGATACGCACCCAGTCAGAGAGAGAGAGAGAGAGAGAGAGCAATTCCCATAATTTTGTAGAGCCGAAAAGGAGGCGGAGCGGGAGCGCCGCGAAAAAGAGTGGGTATCGCCCGCGTGGTCTTGCATGCCATTTTTTAGTTCTAATTCCTTGTTTTTGGTGATTGGCGTGTTGCGTTTTACCTTAAAAAATTCTAAGATTCTGCTTTAAATATGGATTCATTTAGAACGCTGTCTGATGGGGATGCGGCCCTGAAGATGCCATCAACATCTAGGACTCGTTGCCTGACGGAACGGGGAAGGAGGAGGAATGAGGTGAGACATTTGAATGGAGGGCAGGCCAGCAGAGATTCTTTAGGAAAGGGCAGGCTAGCAGAGATTCTATAGGAAAGGGCAGGCTAGCAGAGAAAATTTTTGGAAACAGACGCCCTAAGCCTATTTTTTTAGACAGCAATCGGAGAAGAACTCGGCGACATGCCGGAGATGGCCGAAATTGAGGACGACGTCATCGTCGACGTGGCCGAGGAGGGCGAGCTGGACGATGAGGATGACGACGATTTCTCCGATTATGAAGACGAGGAGATGGAGGACGAGGCGGAGACGAGCGAGACTCGGCAAGGACAGGCTTAAGCCCTGGCCTAAGCCTAAGCCAAGCTAAGCTCCTGCTCCGCTCCGCAAATTGCTCTGAACGGCAAGCTAGCAGATTCCATTTGGGAATTTTCTCATGTTTCCGTCGGCCGTAAACACCCCTTTTCTGCATTTTCTAAGATATTCTTGCTTTTCGCTGTATTTTGCCATATTTTCGCATTTTTCTCGCTTCTCTTCATTTCCCTTTCCATGCCCTTTAAACCCCTAATAACGCGGTTTTTCGCCAGATTCTAATTTCCGTTTTTTTTTTTGGATAATTTTGTTATTTTGCCCTCCCTCCGTCTCTTGAACTTGCCAGTTTCCCTCCCCCCGCTGCCCGCTTTAACTCTCCCCCTCGATTTTTTTATTTAAATTTCTAATATGCAAATATGGAAATTTGATGGTAATTTATGCAAATTATTCAGAGCTGTTTAATTTATGCTTTTTTTGTGTGTGGAAAAACAGATTGTGATTTGCCCCCAGAAATGACCTCCAACTAGCCAGTAAGAGTTTTTCTATCTAGTCAATATTTATCTTGTTTCGGCTAAAATATCTGATCTCACTGAATTTTAAGGTAAAGCCTAAGCCTAAGCCTAAGCCTAAGCCTAAGCCTAAGCCTAAGCCTAAGCTAAGCCTAAGCCTAAGCCTAAGCCTAAGCCTAAGCTAAGCCTAAGCCTAAGCTAAGCCTAACCTAAGCCTAAGCCTAAGCCTAAGCCTAAGCCTAAGCCTAAGCCTAAACCTAAGCTAAGCCTAACCTAAGCCTAGGCCTAAGCCTAAGCCTAAGCCTAAGCTAAGCCTAAGCTAAGCCTAAGCTAAGCCTAAGCCTAAGCCTAAGCCTAAGCCTAAGCTAAGCCTAAGCCTAAGCTAAGCCTAACCTAAGCCTAAGCCTAAGCCTAAGCCTAAGCCTAAGCCTAAGCCTAAGCCTAAACCTAAGCTAAGCCTAACCTAAGCCTAGGCCTGGGCCTAAGCCTAAGCCTAAGCTGCTAAGCCTAAGCCTAAGCTGGCCTAAGCTAAGCCTAAGCCTCCAAGCCTGCCTGGCTTAGCCTAAGCCTAGCCTAAGCTAAGCCTAACCTAAGCCTAAGCCTAAGCCTAAGCCTAAGCCTAAGCCTAAGCCAAAGCCTAAGCTAAGCCTAAGCCTAAGCCTAGGCTTAAGCTAAGTCAGCTAAGCGTAAACCTAAGCCAAGCCTAAGCCTAAGCCTAAGCCTAAGCCTAAGCCTAAGCCTAAGCCTAAGCCTAAGCCGAAGCCAAGCCTAAGCCTAAGCCTAAGCTAAGCCTAAGCCTAAGCTAAAACCTAAGGTTAAGCTTAAACGGAAGTTTAAGCCCATGCGAAGCAAGCTAAGCCTAAGCTAGGTCAGCTAAGCCTAAGCTTAGGACTAAGCTAGGCCTAAGCTAAGCCTAAGCTAAGTCAGCTAAGCCCAACCTTTTCCTGTCGCCCATTTCTAAGTGTATTCTAGCCACTCAACCCTCCCCTCTAAACTGGTAGCCCCCTGAAATCCACTGGTTCCTACATCACACAGATTATTCCACAACACTCCGGTCAACCCAAAAAATTGAAATTGCGATTTTTTTGTACTCTTATTTTTCTATTTTTTTTCAGGGCAATTTCTTTTCATAACTTTATATAATTCTAGTCTCAATTGACCCAGTTTTCCCCTATTTTTCATTTTGCTATTCCGATAATTTTTATCGTTTTTTTTTTGCAGATTTCTAACTCTTCTTTTGTCGATTCGTTTTTTCTGGTGGTTCCTCCATTTCTTGGTGTTTTTTTAAATAAATTGTAGCAAGCAATTTTTATGAAATTTATCACAGTTCAATAGATTGAAAAATCACAAAAACGACAAATACAAAATCGTCAAATTAGGCAAAAAGTCGAGGCGCTAAAGCTCTAGGAATTAACCCGGATTTTGTTTAAAAAAAACTCGAAAAAGTCAGAATTTTACTGAAATTTAAGCTGAATTAAAAGCACTAAAAATTACAAATATTACGGCAGGATACGGTAGCATACGTTATCGTTTAATATACCCATTTTTCCACCTTGCCCGCCATTTTCCAGCGCTCCTTTTCGGTCTGCTTTTTGAGGCGCTGGAGGGTGGAGGTGATCACTTCGTTCGCGACCTGAATGGGGCAGGCTAGCAGTGATCATTTGGGATTTCGGTTCTTGACTGTTAGCGGGGGGAGGGTGAGCGGGTGTAGCTGGGGGAAACTTTGAAAATTCGAAAATTTTAACTTTTTTGTTCATTTTTCACACATTTTTGACCAAAAAGTCCAAAAATTTCCAAAATTTTTACACTTTTGTATATTATTTTATAGCTAAAAACTATGTAAAATGCTCCAAAAATGGTTTATATCTAGTTATACGGCCTTCGAGAATCACAGCAAAAAAAATTTGGGCTTCCCCCGCTAACGGCCCAGAACCCAGATTCCAAACCTAGAGCAAGATTTTCACGACAGTGAAAATAGAGACAAACCAATGTTCGAAAATCGAAAATGCCGACAGCCAAAATCCCGCAAGATTTCAGCCAAGCTAGCAGAGATCGTTTGCGCAAAAACTCACGATCAACCGCTCATCGAGCGGCCACTTAAACTCCGGGTCGGCGCATCCGGTCCAGTTTGCATTCGGCAGGAACGGGTCGTAGTAATGGAGATGCTTGGAGCCCATACTAAATGAAGCAACTTAAGCCCAATCCAAAGCTTAGGCCTAAGCCCGCTTCCGCACGATTTTGGCAATTCCGGGTGGCCAAGCCCGAGGTCCGATTCGACCATCCGGGAAAAGTCGATACCCTTAGAATTAAGTTTCCGGTTTTGAAATTTTCAGGGTAGATTGGGCAGCTCTTTAGCATGTCAGAACAGGTTTCAGATCGACGATTTGAGTTTCCAGCGCAAAGTTACAGCTCTTTGCAATTTTTGGGCTGCCCCGAAAGAAATAAGTCGGCTTAGCGGGCTTGGCTTTTATTAAATTGGCTTATAAGTGGTACCATTCGATCCGGCTGGTCAAGGGCTTTGAAATGAGCTATAAAACGTTGCTTTCGCATCCCTGAGCAGCGGAAGCCGAAGCTAAGCCTACGCCTATGCCCGAGCCTAAGCCTCAGTCAAGCCTAGGTTAAGTCTAAGCCAAGCCTAAGCCCAAACTTCCCAACCAACAAATGCCATTTCTGAAACACCCTACTTTGCCCGGTCCACCATATTCGAGTTGAAGGCGAGTCTCCTCTGCTGCTGGAGGGCGTGGAGCATGAAGTCGTGCTCGCGGCTCCACCGCGAGTCTGTCAGCCAGATGTCCCGCACCCAGGAGGTGCCCTGGAATTGGTAGCATTCCTAAATTCTCTCTGCAAGCCTGCCCACCTTTGGCATAATCTTCAGGTGCTCGACGTTCCGCCGGAATCCCATGACGTTCCGCACACAGGCTTCATAGATGAAAAGCGTCTCGTAGTTGCGTGATTTTCGGTAGATTTCCCAGCAAGTCTGGAAGATGCCGATAAAACACGCACCAATAGGCGTCCCAGGCCAAATGTACTCACTTTTAAATCCTCATGCAAATCCGGGTATAACATTTCGGCGATGAAAATCTGAACGCTTAGGTAAAGTCGAAGCCGAGCCTAAGCTAAGCCAAGCTAAGTCAGCCAAGCCCAAGCCTAAGCTAAGCATAAGCAAAGCATAAGCAAAGCCTAAGCTAAGCCTAAGCTCAGCTAAGCCTAAGCTAAGCCTAAGCTAAGCCTAAGCTAAGCCTAAGCCTAAGCTAAGCCTAAGCCTAAGCTAAGCCTAAGCTAAGCCTAAGCAAAGCATAAGCAAAGCCTAGGCCCATCCTATTCGAAATCCTCGGAATTCCCATGAAACTCACGTGCAAAGCCCCGTTGTCCGTCCCGTGGAAGCTCCTCGGAATTTGGGTCTCGTAGTCGGCAAATCTAAAAAAAGGTGGACTCGAAAAGAGAGAGAGAGAGAGAGAGAGAGAGAGAGAGAGAGAGAGGGACAGAGAAACCCACAGTCTCAAAAACTCCTTGGTCCAGTCGCAATTCCTGGCTATATAACTCCCGGCCGCGAATTCCCAATTCCCGATCCGCTCGTAGAGGGTCAGATCGGCGTTCGGGTCTATCCATTCCTCATAGCGCCTAAAATCGCGGTTTTTGGGCAGGCTAGCAGGGATTATTGGGGGATAACCGGCAGATATTTACTTTACAGACCTATCTGGATTGACGACGGCCATGTCTCCATCCAAAAATACGAGGAAATCGTAGTCGGGCAAGAATTGGAGGACGATGCAGTGACGGCGGAACATGAACTGGAAAGGAACTCGCCTAAGCCTGAACTTAAACCAGGCCTAAGCCAAGTGCAAGCGTAAGCTAAGTCTAAGCTAAGTCTAAACCTAAGCTAATCCTAAGCCAAGCCTAAGTTTGATCTAAGCCTAAGCTTAAACGTAAGCAAAGATTAAGTTAAACCCAGGCCTAAGCCTAAGCCAAACCCTAAGCTAAGCCCGAGCTGAATCCTCTCAGCCCGATTAATCTTTCCCAAAAAATCCCTGCTAGTCTGCCCCCAACCCACATCCTTCTGCTTGCACATCGGATATTCCTTGTCCTCCACCAATCGATAATCGTATCCCTGTCTTTTCGCGTAGCATTCCATAGAGGAGAGGGCTTGGCTGTACGTGGCCAACTTGGTGCCTTTCTGAAAAAAGGATAGTGTGAGAGAGAGAGAGAGAGAGAGAGAGAGAGAGAGAGAGAGAGGAAGAGAGAAAAGAAAGAGGGATACTGAACTTACCTGAACGACAATCAGCATCAAAATCTTCTGCTGCTTCTCGGGCTCATAAGTTGCGGGGACTTCCGACGCATTCGCCATGTACTTCTTCTCAAACTCGGTCATCGGAGTGTCGCTGGGAGGTCTCTGAAGCGGACAGGCTAGCAGAGATTCTTTAGGAAAGGGCAGGCTTGCAGAGATTCTTTAGGAAAGGGCAGGCTTGCAGAGATTCTTTAGGAAAGGGCAGGCTTGCAGAGATGCCTCTACTCACCCCTTGATGCTTTACAAATTCCGGAGTATCATCGTAGCTCATCACCTCCGCTGCGCCATACGTCGGCGCAAATGAAGGAGTGAAAACGGAGAGGGCGGAAGCCCCGCCCCCTTCGCCAAGAATATCCATAAATAAGCTCCAGATTAAAATGACTAGCAGGAAAAACACAGCATAGACGGACCAGAGAACATGTCGATGTGAGAGTCGCCACCTAGAAAACTTTTTAGATTTTTTTCAAGCTAAGCCGAAGCTAAGCCGAAGCTAAGTCAGGCCTAAGCTTAAGCCTGAGCTGAGCCTAAGCCTAAGCCCAAGCCCAAGCCTATGCTTCAGCCAAGCTCTAATTATAAGCCTAAGCAAACCCTAAACCTAGCCCTAAGCCCAAGCCTAAGCCTAAGACTAAGTCTAAGCCTAAGACTTGCCTAAGCCTAAGCCAAGACTAAGCCTAAGCCTAAGCCTAAGCCTAAGCCTAAGCCTAAGACTAAGCCTAAGACTAAGCCCAAGCCTGAGCCTAAGCCTGAGCCTAAGCCTAAGCCTAAGCCTAAGCCAAGACTAAGCCTAAGCCTAAGCCTAAGACTAAGCCTAAGCCAATACTAAGCCTAAGCCTAAGCCAAACTATTTAAATTACCCCATAATTTGGGTCCAGCGAAAGGTGTGCGGCGGAATTTTGGAAGGGTAAAATCGATCGGTGGGAGTTGGATCCAAATTCGCCAGCATTTTAATATTGGGCCAAAAGCTCTGGCCGCCCTTGAATAGAAGGAAAATGCCCCCCAAAATCGGGATTGAAAAAGCCGAACCGACCTGTTCCACTTTGGTGGCAACATCATTGTTGGCAGATTTTACAGTTCAAACCTCAAATGGCGATTTAAAATCTCTCTAAAATCTGCAATGACAGTTCTAAATATCAGCAGAATTTTGTTAGAAAAGTCCATAAATATAGAGCAATTTTATTGACAAATACATTGCGCCCGGTCATTTATTTTCCAAGACGAAATCGACAGGCGAGATCTCGATCGCGTGTCTTGGAGAGAGAGAGGGAGAGAGAGAGAGAGAGAGAGAGAGAGAGAGAGAGAATGAGAGAGAGAGAGAGAGAGAGAGAGAGAGAGGACGAATTCCGGCTGCACGGAGATTTCATCTACAGCCGCGTTTCTAGCTGGCTACTCATAAAATCGTTCCGGATTTGGAGCGGAAAGAACGCTAATTTACATAGTAGAGGGTAGCTAGCAGGGAAAATTTTAAAATGGCAAGGCAGGCTAGCAGAGAGCATTATGGAATCAAGATGGCAAACTGGCAGTGAACATTTAGGAACCAAGACGGTAGGATCGCAGAAAAAATTTGGCGAATCAAGAAGTCGCCTAACCCTAAGCCTAAGCAGAAAACATCGGGGAATGCAGGAGCATACTTGCAGAGATCCTTGAGGAATGGAGACGGCAGGCTGGCCTAGATGATTTAGGAATGGACAAGAGTAACTAGCAGTGATCATTTAGGAAGGAGGCAAGCCAGCAAAGCCAATTTCCGAAAAGTAGAAGCCTAAATTTAAGCCTGAAAAGTCTTTCTGTTCCCCCCACCTGCCATCGTGGCGAGCAGCTGGGAGGATTTGGTCGTGGGGGTGTGGCAAGGATCCGGATGGCAATCGCCGACTACCATCTCCTACGAGCCGGCCGGCTCCTGAGCACGAGAGAGACGAAGAGGAGCCATCTGGGATTGGGGCAGGCTAGCAGAGGTTCTCTAGGAACGGGCCGGCTAGCCAGGATTTCTGAGGAAATCTGGAAGTTCCGGAAGCGATAACCAACCGAAAATCTTCGATTCGAGAGGTCGGCTTCCGCTTACCTTACTTTCCAAATTACGCAAGTGCCTGTGGCTGTCTAGGTCCTAAATGATCTCTGCTAGCTTCTGTCACACTCCCTTTAAAATCCAGTGGTTTCCAGTGTGTTGAGAGTGGTTTTCAATCAAATTCCAGTGGTTTTAAGGGTCAATAAAATCATGGCCTAACTTTGCCCTTATGGATTAGCCTTCCTGGTTCCTTGAGTTAACTATTAGGATTTTTTAAGCACATCCTAAAGAATCTCTGCTAGCCTGCCCTTTCCTAAAGAATCTCTGCTAGCCTGCCTTTTCCTAAACGATCTCTGCTAGCCGGCTCTTTCCTAAAGAATCTCTGCTAGCCTGCCCTTTCCTAAAGAATCTCTGCTAGCCTGCCCTTTCCTAAAGAATCTCTGCTAGCCTGCCCTTTCCTAAAGAATCTCTTCTTGTCCTGCCCTTTCCTAAAGAATCTCTGCTAGCCTGCCCTTTCCTAAAGAATCTCTGCTAGCCTGCCCTTTCCTAAAGAATCTCTGCTAGCCGGCTCTTTTTTCTGGTTTTTCCAGAAAAAAACCAAGACCCAACGAACTAATATCATAATACATAATCAGAAAATGTCCGTTATTCCGTACTCCTACATTCCATTGTTATAAGGGCCCCTATCTGGGCCCCCTACCACCAGTTGGCCGCCCTTTGTTAGTTATGCAAATTAAGGGCATAGGGGAGCTGCTGCTCCCCTTTCCCTTTTTAGGGGAGCAGAGGCCGAGCTCCACGGATTGGATGTCATGCCCGGTAATGAGAGCATTTATTTATAGGGGCTTGGTGGGGGGAGAATATGTTTTGGGGAGCCAGAAATCTCTGGAGGCGTTATTATGCCAATCGCCGGATTTTGCGAGATTCTGTACCACTGGCTTTCTCTCTCACTCCCTCTCTGTCTCTCTCTCGCTGTCTCTCCCTCTCTCTCTCTTTTTCTCGTTCTCTGCCTCCCTATCTTTTTCTCTCTCTCTCGCTCTCTCCTTTTGCGATCTGTCGCACTCCCTTTAAAGTACAGTAGCCGGGGCAAGATTAAAGGACCGTTGAAGAGCAAGGACTGGCCTGGTGAAGCTCAGGCTCTTTAGAATTATATGCGTTCCCTAATTGGTCCTCTGCTAGCCTGCCTTCCGTTGTCCTCAAAAATCTTCGATGGTTTGCCGAGGCTTTTCCGCAAAAGATCTGGCTGTCCCGTCTCTCTCGCTCTCGCTTTCTCTCTAACTCTCGCTCTCTCTCTCTCTCTCTCTCTCTCTCTCGACAACATTCACCAGTTTACTAAATTTTAGCCCTGCTTTTCCGGGGGTTGAAGTCCGGGCTGGGGGACCAATTCATTAGGCATCCCCCACCCCACATCGGCCCTAACCCCCCAAATTAAAAAAGATCCACAACTTTGTCTCCGGGCCCTCGATTTAGAGATCGAGTAGAGGGGAGAGACCCAAAGAAACAGACCTGCCCATCCAAATTAATTGCAACGGGCCGGCCGGGAGGGGGAGCACCAACCCCGAATCTAAAACGGCTGGCGCATCCCCGGAATTTTGGAAGTTTTCAGGAGAAATTGGTCACTTAGGGAGGGCTAGCAGAGATTCTTTAGGAAAGGGCTGGCTACCAACCCGCGTTGTAGAATTGCGTAATGGCTATGTTTTTACTTAGATAGTTAGAGCTACCGTATCCCGAATTCCGATTTTTTTCGGAAAATTCGGGTGTCGACTTTGCATCTTTTTGCCTGATTTACTATTTCTTTTGGGATCTTTCGCTGCGGGACCCGAAGGATTCGCCCCTCCCTTCCGCCCTGTTTCATTACACTAATTAAAATCACATGTGGAGACTGGCTGACTGGCGCGACATCCCATCCCACAACCACATAGCCCTAGGAAGGGTCGTTTACTACTTAAAATAAATAAAAAATAAATAAATTTACTTGCCTCTACCTCTACAGTCACTAGCAGACTTTAATCTGTCTGTCTCTCTCTCTCTCTTGCCCTCTCTCTCTCTTCTCGTTTTCTATCTCTCTATCTCTCTCGCTCTCTCGCAGGCTAGCAGAGATCCTTTAGGAAACCGCGGTATGGAAAAAACTAAAGACTAGAATCTCTCTGCAACAATACCCGACACTACAATCAGCACCCCCAAAAAATCCCATGCCCCTCCACCCAAATTCGCTAATTTCTGGCTTCCCCCATTCCGGGGGGTGAAGCCTGATTAATTGGGGGAAAAGCTGAAAATGAAGTGGAAAGTGTGGGGAGAGAGATAGAGACAGAGAGAGAGAGAGAGAGAGAGAGGGAGAGAGAGAGAGAGATAGAGAGAGAGAGAGAGAGAGAGAGAGAGAGAGAGAGAGAGCGAGAGTGCTCGACGCCCAACCCTGCCCAGGGCCCACACAAATAGGATTTCGCCTCTGGGCCCCCGTTAATTAATTAAAAAGCCGGGAATTTCGCTCTCTGAGGCTCTCGGCAAATGCGCTCCCTTTTTCTGGTTGCCCCCACCGATTTTTGGCCGTTCCATTTTTGGGATGTGAATTCGTCCAAAATCCAGATCCACTTGCCCCAATGATCTCTGCTAGCCTGCCCTCCATCCCAAATTCGCCGCCGCCGAGATTTCTAATAACATTTGAGGGGCTGCCCCCCCCCCCGTAATGAGTAGGGCCACGGAAATGTCTCTCTTTCTCACTCGCGCTCTCTCTTTCTCTCTCTCGCCCTCTACCTAATATTAATTCCATTTACGGGGTGGAAGACCGCAAGTTGGGCGCTCTCACGATTAGCCAGATTCCTGGCTAATCGCCTTTTTTTGTATAGTAAAATAAAAAATCGGGATCCTTAAAGAATCTCTGCTAGCCTGCCCTTTCCTAAAGAATCTCTGCTAGCCTGCCCTTTCCTAAAGAATCTCTGCTAGTCGCTCTTTCCTAAAGAATCTCTGCTAACATGTCTTTTCCAAAAGAATCTCTGCTAGCCTGCCCCCCGCAGCGTTCCAAACTTGTAATCAAATTCCCCAAAAAAAGTGCACCAACCGTCAGCCTCTGCCGTGGTGGCCGATTTTCTAATTAGCCGCGAATAATTGGGGGGCCCCCCTTCGGCCTTTTTATGCGCTCAGCGATAATAAATTGCAGCCACTCAACAGCCCCACTCCCATTTCTACCTATTCCCAATTTTTCATTAGCCGCAACCCGGCTAAGTTATCGATTGAAATTAGGCTAAGAATTTGAATCACCAAGGTTGGTTTTTCCAGCT